AATAATTTTCTGAATATAATTTTATAGACCTCACATTGAAAATAATTTTATAGAACTGACAACATACAAACACATAATGTTAAAGAAATTTCTCTTTTTTTCCCCGTCCAAATTAAGTTACTATAACTCTATCTTTTCTAAAGATACACATTTTTCACTTATTTTGCCTCTTGTCTCACAGGCCAAAAACCTAGATGAGCAATAAAATCCATAAATAACAATCTTGAAGACTCAGGTTGATTAAAGTTCAATTCAATTCCTTTAGCTGTATTTTCTGCACTTGACACAAACTATCCTTCTCATAACACATTATGTTCAATAGGTATGAAATTTCTTAGAAAACCTTTTTACTTCGTTTTATTCCACTCTTTTCACTTGCTGTTGGATGCTGCCAACATGAATCACTTTAGACTTTGAAATAGTTTTATTCTATATTTGCTTCTTTATGGAACTTTGATGTATGTTACTTTGCAGTCTGTTCATTTTTTTTTTTTAATACTTTCTGTGAGTGTTTATGATGGCTTACACCAGGTTCAAAAATTATTATTTGAACAAATGTGTTCAGTAAAGCTACTGCCAGTGCTCATATTTGCAGAAGACAGCTTGGTATAGCTAATTAAAACAATTCTTTCTTCTTTCTTTTAGTAAAACTTTGACCAAGGACTCTATGCTAAAGTTAATATTCATTCTTTTGAAGGCTTAGATTAGGCCAGGTGATATTTAATGACTTTTCTACAAAATATAGACTACATTCTTCTGAGATTTATTTTTGAAAACCTTTCCAAAAACACTTCCAGAAACTTTTACAAGATTATCTGTTTTTATACCCATGTTGGCAGCTGATGATAACATTCCCAATTCTTCTTCAAATATCTGGTCTTAGTATCATCATGGATTATAAGCCTTATCTGATAGTGAACTCCTCAGCCCATAATTAAAAAGAAAAACCTTTTGCATTTCATCTTTTTTTCCCAAATACAACTCCCAGTAGATTATAGATTAAAAGAACACCAAAATTACTGTATGGTTCATTATAATAAAATCTTCAATAACTAAACTACATACTTAAAATATTGCATGTTTTAATGCTAAAAATGCTGACATATTAGTTAGAATTTAAATGTCAGTGAGTGGGACCCATTCACATGGGAGGTGGAAGCCATGGGTGATCCCAGCTCACCAGGCAGGACACAAGAGCACAACACCTGAAAGCTGTGGGCAGAGCAAGGTGACAGGCTGCACTGTCTCTCTGTGACAAATTGAAACACTTGACTGGGTTCAGAGCCCACCTAGTGAATCTAGTCAGGAGATGGGTCCAGAAACTTGACTGGAAACATGATTGGAAACTATTTATCCAGAGACAGAACTTGAGAAAGCATACCTCCAGCAGAGTACTGACAAGGAGAGGGCTCCTGGCCTGCCCTGAAATGTGGTCCTGGACCCCCGTGCAGAACCCAAGGAACACTACTCAGGACAGTTAATATGTCATGGCAATCTGGGTTCTGACATTTAACTAAGATACTTTTTCAAGTTTCTGTATCTATTTTGGTATTGTGACCTAAATGTTCTACCATTCCGGGTTCAGTTAAGATTTGCATTCAAGAAAAGCTTAAACATAATAAATCTTGGATGTCAGAACAAGATTTTGAAAATATAAATGTAAAAAGAAATAAAATATAGACATGCAAGTACAAAGGTTTCTCTTGATCTCATTCACTAAAGGTTTCTGAACTGGGAGCTTTCATGTAGATTCTCTGCTTTTGAAGTTCTTAGCCAACAAACAGAATATGACTTTAATTTATGCCATTATCAAGCTGAGCATTTGTAATGCCATTTCAATTGTCTTTACAAGTAGAACATTTTCTTTTCTCCACTAGAAATCTCCTGTTTCATCTTATGATTATAGTTTCTCTTTTATTAAATTTCTTTAAACTTATCAAAGAATTATCCAAATTTTTATTCAAGTTATGCAACAACCAATCTGACTGATTTTGGAGGGCTTAGCATTTCATTTTTTAAAATACATTAATCTTATAAGTTTCCTTGGTCAAGTCTTTTCCTTTTCAAATCTTATCACTTGGGACTTTGCATGCAGTCTAGAAAGGCATTATAAGAGATTTGTATTTGGGTTTTCTTCTTTGTTTGTTATGTTTTGTTTTTTCCCCTCTTCCCACTCTCTCCATCCCCCTTTTCCCTAGAAAAAACACAGGCATAGTTTTGTACAAAAGGAAGTAATTTGGCATAGCTTTAAAACTTAACATTTTGAAAATATCTACAAGTGTTATTTATTTAATTGATGTGACTGTTGTTTTAGAGCTGCTCATTTATATTCTTTTCATGAGATGTATTAGAATAAAAATTTCAAAATGGAAACAGTGTCAAAATTATTTTGATTACTAGCTCTTCAGATTACTCTAGATATCAGAAGGCAAGGATCAGAGGATCGAGTAGCTGTGTATCTTTGTCTCTACACAGCTTCCAAGCCATCCTGTGTCATCATTTCTAGATATGCATAGAAGTGAGTGAGGTATCTGGAAAGGGTTTTTTTTTTTTTTTCTAAAGAGATGGTTTAATATTAGGCATATAATCTCTGCATACCTACTTGCCTAAACAAAGGCAAACTTTTCAAGGACTATTAGCCAGTAAGCTCCCTGTCCTGGGTTGACAAGAAAGTGAGTTTTCTCTGGAAGTTGCGGTCAAACCAATCAGTGGTTAGATTTGAATATTGACCCCAGGACTGACCACTGAAGACATTGGACACATCTCTGAGAACACAGCCAGTTAAAAGCAGAGAACTCCAAGGGGAATGCTGTCTTTTGCTCCAGTCAGTGAAGAGTTCAGACCTCCCCTGCCCAGCCACAGGCTGGGTGTGGGAGGGGAAGCTATGCGGCCAAGGAGAGGTAGGCCAGGGGTGAAGGGACTGGAACCTGCAGGTTGGCCCCTGCAGGACGGAAGGGTGGAGAAAAACTGAGATGTCTTTGTTCCCCCATCCCTCAGAGAGAGAGAGAGACAGAGAGCCTGTGCCACCTGGAAATTTGATATCATGTGCCAGAAGTATGCCGGCAGAGGATAAGGAGAAGTGGGGAAGGAAGATGCCCAACCATGGGAGTTCTGGGCAGCCGAGATTTCAGTTGTCCTGGGACCCTGAGACTTTTAACCCTGTCTTAGGCAAAGAAAGCTTTGCGAAACACTACTCCTCATCAGTTTAAAAGAGAAGAGAGACAGTTTAAGACCTGAGATGTCAGAAGAAGATGGAAAAGAAATCCTTGGTGGGAGGAGATAATGGAGTGGCCTTTGGGTGGGTTTTTCTTGTATAGCCACAGATTGAACCAGTTCTCCCCAGCACAGAGACTGCATTTAGTGGGATGCAATGGCTTGAGCCAAGACAGCGTAGGAGTGAGAGTGGTGTGTGTCAGTGAGTGACACCACGTGCACAAGTGGACTGAAAAGAGAAAAGTTGAGGGGGTTGTGGTGGTGCTCTCTGTCTTCAGGGAAGGAGAAGATCTCTGTTCTCGAGACCCTTGGCCCCAGGGGAAGAGAAAATGGGGGGGACTGTTGTCCCACATATGAGAAAATGTTGTTCTTTTGTCCTTGGCAAGGCATCCTTAAAAGAACCCGATGAGCAGTTTTGGTCCATGCACAGTGGTGAGAGAGCACTGTAAATGGAAGGAGGATGTCACAATAGCAGATTTTCTCTGGGTAGTGCCATGGGTGACATGGAAACATAAAAGGTTTTGACTGTGTTTCCTCTGGAAGACTGTGGTACAAGAGAGACTCCTCTCTCTTCTGATGGACTGAGAATTGATTATCTGAGGGGTGGTAACTTGATCAAAGATGCAAGGTTCTGTCTCACTGTGTTTGGTGGAAATTGGGTGAGGGGAGGAGGAATGTTTTGGAAGGTTTTCATTCTGAACTCTGTGTGTTCCTTTTATTATAGTTGCAGGTTAATAAAGTTTTTTCTTTATTTCTAAGCTCGAGCCTGCTCTGCTCTATCTCTGGTTGCATCTGACAGCACTCATTTGAGAAAAATATATTTTCATGGGCACACTGGCATTGTGCCAGCACCAACCCATGACACTCCCTCAGCAGCACAATTCTGTGGAAACACTGGGGAAAACAGGGAGATTTCTGTACTTAAGTACATGAAGGTACACTTCATGTGGGAGGGAAATTTTAAAGTATAGTATCTTAAGAATGTATTTAAAAAAAAAAAGGGGGAATAAGAGCATACATCAGGCATACTCACACCATTACCAGAGTTCTGTGACCAGCAGGAGGAGTCTTTCTCTTGCTAACTTACACCTATTCTCAACCTTGAATAATATTGGTCCAATAAAACCTTTACTCATTAATTTAAATGAATAAGCTTCTCTTTTTTTTGGTTAAATGTCACAAATATGAAGTCTTCTCTGATATCACTGAAGAACTGTCATATACCATCTCTATCAAAACAGAAATAAAGGGACATGGACAAATAAATTAAAACGTGTATTATTTAGTCATTAATGATGTACCACTGTATGATTCAATTGCATCTCATCCAGAAATGATTATTAATTATATAATTATATAATTATATAATTAATGAATATTAAAAGTCCTTAAAATAATTCAATTTCTGCTGCTTTTCATGGATCTATGTTATCTTCCTAGAAAACTGACATTCATTTCATGAAAAGAATTTGTAAAATAATACACTCCTCTATGACTTACAAGCAGAAGGTTGGTAAAAAAACCGACAAATTTCATTTTATGCTACACCTAATAACATGTACTCTCACATTAACTTTGCAACAAAAATATACAGGTAACAGAAATGAACATTTTAAACTCTAAATCAGATCAAAGTGACAAGGCCCTGTGATTTAAGCACAACTGAATCTCAAATTTCTGATAGAGTAGTTGTAGGAAAGTGACAAGCCTCAAAAAAGTTTAAAAATCATATCGTTCTCTCAAAGGGAATATTTAAAACATATTTCTCTTTTGTGGTCTTTTCTCAGAAATGATACATCAGTGAGAGAGTATGAGCTGGGAGGAACAACAAGATTTTGGCAGCAGAACGCCTTCATTAGTCACAAATGTGCTCCTCATTTAGGACTGCTTGCCGCCACGGGGATCCTCATGAACACAGGACAACATTTTTATTTCTTTATCACCTGGTGACCGAACATACAGTCTAGCAGATGGATGTCTACAAAGACAAGCCAAAAACTCAGCAGCCAGGTCAAGGTGAAGTATTTCATGTGGCGTCTATATCCAGCTACATCAAATGCAGGCTTGTGATAAACTACAGCCTCGATATGTTTAGGATTATTACAGACTAAAATTAGTTGAATTCCCAACAATTCTAATAATTTTGATCTCTAGTTTTTTTAAAACAGCTCCTAAGGAAGAGAGTAATTCACACACCTACCCAGTTGTTCATAAGAGCCTTTTGCAGATATGGAGACCCTCTCATTTGAAAAGAAATTTAAGTGCAGAAAATCTAAGAGGCATAAGTAATTTGATACACATAGAAATATTGTGAAACTAACAGATGTAGCAAAACTCTATGTAAGATCCAACAAGAGGGAAAGAGGAGTTTGTTTTAACACAAAACAGTTTTATTCACTTACACTTATATTGTCACATCACCATCAGCCATCAAAACAACTGAGTCCAAGCAGTCTGTCCTACAGCACCAAGACATATATTCTGTGGTCTAGTAAAGATTAAAAATTACAGTAATAACAAGCGACAAGAGCTATCCACTTCTGCATATCCAAGTACCATCAAAATCCTAACATTCCTGAAATTTTGTGCATCTGATGATTGTACAATGACACATATCCCTTCTTTCTTCATTCATATCAATTTAACAAATTTCTCTTTCTCTTCTATTACAAATCTCTACTTATAATAGTGATGCCTGATATTTTAGAATTATGGGGTTCTTATCAGGGTCCTAACTATCACGGCATGAAATCCACATTATTCTGACAGTTGCTTGATCTCACTTAAGAACATAGATGTTCTCAGAATTTTGTGTTCTGTACACAAAATTGTATGGCAGGTGAGATGGCCTGACCTTTTTTTTCAGAATCACTAATAATTTCTAAATATTATTTTAATTTATGATTTATTTAGAATAGCCACAATTATAAAAAGATTTTGCTTTTGATAGGCAGTCCTAAGCATTGTCATTAAGGATTGAATGCAATTAGACTGTCAAGTAGTTCATAATGGCATCATAAAAATATGATCAAAAAAGTGCCAGTCAGATTATATAGACAGACACATAATTTAAACAAACTCTGTGATCATTTGAGCTCAAAAGAGTATTTGGTGATAATGCTACTACACAGAATTTATAAGAATAAGTGACTGCACCTATGCAAAAATATCCTACATGTATATTACAAAACAAGGAGTACACTGAATCTAACCATGTTGTGAATAGTTTCTAAAACTTTCTTGGAGCATCCTGCTACACATACAATCCTGAACTCATGAAAATGAGTGGGAAAATAACCTCCCAACAGAAATAACAACATGAGTTTTACTTCCATGAGCCGATGACATTACTGATATGAACATCAGCAGTGATGTAGCCTATCTTTTATGAAACCAATGAAAACATGTATGTGTATTTCCTTTTGGCTTTTTGAAGTTGTCAGAGAGATCTATGCAGCCATAGTGTGATTATATGACCAAAAAAGGAGCCCCCAAGTGCAAGTTTATCCAGAATGCCAAGTCCTATAATTCTGTTCAAAGCCAATCCTTATACTTAAAAAAAAATCAGTCTTTAGTGTACTCCTATGGAGCTAATGCATTATGGCATTAGTTCCATAAACCAGTAGCACAAGGTTGCTGAGGACTTTTTGCTTCAAACAAATTTTGTACAGAAATCAAAAAGGAAGCATTTTGAGGTATAAATTGTTAGACTAACTTCTGCATTTGTTACTGGCATGAGCACTCATCTCCAGTAGGCTAAAGGGTTCTGATGCTTGAATGGCTTCTAATGAAACAGAAAGTTGTAAATCTCTTGCTGTAATACATGTTACTGCACACATTTCAAGTCCTTGATTCCTCCCTAAAGACTGCAGGTTGAATGCTAAAGCAACTACAGCTCAGGAAGGTAGTGCATTACATCAAACGTCAAAGTAGAATAATAAACACAGCTATTAAATGCAGTGTTGTTGAAATGTAGCTTGGCTAGGACTCATTCTGTATTCTGTATGAACTACAGAAACACACATATTGTGGTACAAAAATTGGTCTGAACAGACCACTGGGTAAATGCAATCCATTAACACTGCCTGCAAGAGGCTTTATTGTAAGCAATTTATTTTAAAATAATAACTTAAAAAACATACATTAGACTTCTGTTAACTTTTGACTGTACTACTGTTGATAACCTTCACTTTTAACTAAGTATATCAGTTATTTGCTTTACCATTTTCATTCTTTTGGAATTGAGTTCAAAGCATGGTTAGAAGGAATCCGTGAAATGTACTACAGCTTGATTCTTGATCTTTCCTGAGTATATCATAAACTTGCAGTGCCAGAAAAACCTGAAATTCTGAAATAGTTTCAACAATCATTTCTTCCTAGGTGTATAAACAAGCCCTTCCAGGCTCTATACTTGTAACTGCTACAGTTTGTCTCTCAGCAAGAAGCATTAGCTTCTACTCAATACTGCATTAGATTGCAGATTGTATGAAGCTTATATATTTCAAAAGCCAGTTCACAGAGGTTCTCTTTGGATAAAACAAATTTGAGTGATTATAAAAGAGTATACTGTTAACCTCTTTTTGCATTGTACTCCTAGTTTAAACTTCATGAACACATTTGTAGGGTCACTCTTCCCTCTCCCAAGACAATTGTCTTCCTATAATTTGGGGTTTTTTTTATTTAGGAAAATATGGACAATAGAAGTGATGGAGTCATCTAGAAAGCCTGAATCACCTACACTAAGCTGGTTTTGGGGGCAAAACCTGGTTCACATAGACTTAAGCTACAAATGGGATGATTGAGGTTCTGTGACCAATTACATTCCTGTTTTAATGAACTCTAATCATGTAGAAGAACATGAACTAGCCAACAAGCTTCAGTGAAAGACTGCAATGTTTTGAAAAGATTTTGTCTTGGTTTCCACTGGGGTAGAGTTAATTTTCTTCTTAGTAGCTGATGCAGTGTAGTGAATGCTGGACGGTTTGGATGGATTCAGACGAGAGATCTCTGTTGATTGCTCTTAGAATATAAAGTTTATTAGGGATGGTGAAAAGTCCTGCCTGGAGCTGCCAGATGCAGCACGTGGCAGGGCCTGAGGCGATGGGGGAGGGGAGAGACAAAGGGAAGAGAGGATGCTCTAGGAGAGCAGGGACTCCAAGAGGGGGAAAATCCAAGAGAAGGGAAGTTGCAAGAGGGAGAAAATTCCAAGAGCGGGGAAGTTCCAAGAGGGTGTCTGGCCCCTCGGAGACCCTTTATCAGGGGGCTTCAAGGTGGGCTGGAACAAGACTTGGGCCAATGGGGTCACAGACACCTGATGTTTCAGGGGAGGGTTACAGGTGAGGAATGAACCATACATTCTGGGGGGTGAGATGGAACAGTCCATTTGACTTTTGGACCCCTCTGTAGGTAAGGGCATTGTCCAACCAGTAGGGGGCATTGTTTTCATCCTGGCTGTACTATTGTGGTTCTTCTGCTAGACAATCATATTTATCTATCTTTCCCAGCAATGCAGTGCTGTGTTCTGGATTTAGTGTAAAAGCATTGTTAGTAACACACTGATATTTCAGTTGTTGCTGAGTACTCTTTACCCTAATTCAAAGACATCTCAATGTCTCAGGTTCTTCCAGTGACCAGGTGTACAAGAAGTCAGGAGGGAGCATGACCAGAACAGCTAACCTGAACTGGCCAAAGGGATATTCCAAACCACAGAACATCATGCAGAGTACATAAACTTGGGGAGAGTGGCCAGAATCTGCTGATTTCTGCTTGGGAATGGGCTGGGCATTGATCAGTGGGTAGTGACTGTACTGTGAATTTCTTATTTCTTTGTGGTTTATTTCTCCCTTTCTCTTTCTTTCTCTCTCCCCATTTCTCTAAAATTTTTGTTACTTTTATTGTTATTGTTTTTATTATGAATATTATTTTCATTATTATTGTTGTTAATATATTTTATGAATATGTTATGAATTATTAAACTGGTTTTATCTCAGCCCATGAGGTTTATTTTTTCCTGCTATTTTCCTTCCCACCATGGTGAGAGTAGGGAGAACAAGAGTCTGTGTAATACTTAGTTGATGGCTGGGTTGAAACCATGACAGATTTTCACAATAGAATATTGCAAAATGTATTAAAAAGAAACCAACAAACTTTCAAAACCATAATTAACAGCTTATTTACAATCTCACACATTTTAAAAATGCAAACATTTTCAAACTGAAATAGGTTATTTTTCTGTTAGGAGGAAGTAATTTTAACATGTTTAATAGGCAAAAATATTATTATGTAAATTGTTAATAACCAATAATGAAATATTGACTTTCTAAAAGTCTACTTTTGAATGATAGAAACATGACCATAACTATAGCACTAACTTTATGTTAGACAAAAACTAAAAGGGCCTATATATTACAAACATTGACCTACTTCAAATTTTTCAGAATAGGTCTTCAGTTATTTCAGTGTTCTGTAATACTCATACAGAAAACTCTGAAAGAGATTATATCACATTTATTTAGGTTGTATATTTCCACAGGAGGAATGCTGCCCTCCATTTGATGGATTTGCTCTCTCCCCTACCCCCCATCTGAAGTAACAGACTGTAATTTAGTCACAGTAAGCTGCTAAGTGAGATGAAAATTTTCCCTTCAGCTTTGTTTCACCACAAAATTGAACTAAATGTTCTTTTATTCTAACAGAGAGAGATTTGGTCATAAATCCACTTAAATGACAAAGGATGAAAATGTGTTTTTCAGCTTTTCACATTTCTCATAGCACTGAGGAAGTAATTCATCTCTGCTGAGATTACTGAATTTAGTTATGTGTCACGATGTATGTGATATTCCATAAATGAAAGCAATGCAGAAAATAAAACCTCTAGATACTCACTTTTTAATTCAATGTTCAGTCTGTAGATTGCCCAAGAGATGAAAACTGCTTTGCAATCTGAAGATGGATCCTTCTTCAGAATACCCAAAGGTCTAAGGAACATAAAAATCTAAATGAGCACAGTTTGAACATATAATCACAGAAATACAAATTGGAAAAGATTTCCAGGAGCTATTTGCCCCTTTAATGTGGTTAAAAGCCAAAGTGGTGTATTAGGTGAAGCTGACTTCTGGAAACTTTATGAGAAAATTGCACTGACAGTAAGAATGAAAATCTCTACCATACTCATCAAAAGAAGGAGTTTCAATCAAAGATACTTAAACATAGATACAGAAGTATATGATATATGCAATCCTAAAATTTTTAATAGACTATGGGATTTTTGGGTTTTTTTTGTTTCAGTCCCTTGTAATTTTCAATGACACCTAACTGTACCCAAGAAATATGTAGGATGTTGGTGTTACTGCATGGAGTTAACTTTCCAGCAGTTGAGTAAGTCTCTTTGCAATGCTCACTAAGTCGCTGGTTTTTCGCCTGTGGATGAAAAATATTCTGTAAATGGTTTTAGTTTTTCTAAGCAAGTATAAGTCATCACAGAATAGGCAGCAAAAAAAATCTTGGATATGCATATTTTCAGTTTATTTTCAGATTAGGTAACTTTCAAGTACCATTTAATATTACTCTGGATACAGGAAAATTTTTATTTTTTGAAAACAAAATCACTATAGCACCTTCAGTGTTAGAGTCTCAACTGATAACTAAAAAAAGATTGACTATGTAAAACTGTTATTTCATTTGAAGTACGTGGTTTTAACTCCTCTTTGTCACTCAAACACCTACCTTAGTAGATTTTAAGGTAGATATGAGTAATTAATAAGATAATTTGTATGATAGTTGCATTTGACCTAAATCTACTTGCAATTTTTCAATGTTCTCATTTATAAATTTTAAAATTGTCATTCACAATTAATGTTAGATTTAAAATATATTATTTTTTGGTTTGCATTCATTTGCAAAGATTAATTCTGAAGTCTGCTATTTGCCAAAGGCACCTAAGAAGGCAACATAAATTGGAACTATTTCTAGGCTGTTTAAGCAAAGTTCTATTATCTTCAGTAGTCTTAGTTTCATGGTAACAGGAACCAATAGTGTTAGTCATGTCCCATTGCTACATATCAAGTTAGGCCTTTGAGGTATAATAAAATACGCACACTGAAAACTAGCATATTGTGAGGTGTCATTCTAATGTAATGAATAAATAAACATAAAATCTTAGTAAGAAAACATCATTCCCTTGATCTTGATTATTTGCCAAAGAATTTCTAAAGTTTTTATGATTTCAGAAATATCCTGAAAAAGGAGTAACTACAGAAAAGGACTTCAAATGTCTGTGAGCATTCTGGCATATCTTATTATATGTAATGGGGGAAAAAAATCAGCTGCTTTTCTGATATAATCTACAAAAATCTCAAAGTTCCACTATTTTAAACAGTTTTTAAGAATAAAACAAATCAATAAATTAACATTACCCAGAAAAGGGACTAGATTCCTGCAGTAGGACAGCAACACAGTGATTCAGTTCCCCTTTTTTGAAACCTGATATAGGTCACACTGAACAAACTATTACTGAGAAAACACTTCACTTTGACTTAGACTTTTCAGAGTATAATTTGGTGTAATTTAGTTTGTGAATTTCCATACCCTCTCTTTACTCAACATTTTGATCTAACCTACACACCTCATTCCTTTTTAGTTTGGTTAAGCCTTCCATTTATTTTTGATTCCTCAAATTTCTTACTTCTTTTCCAACATTGTAAAGAATCACTAATACTATATTTGATTTATTATTCAAACAATGCCTTTCCTGTTTCCATAACATCTTTCACTTACTCTCTGTACTCAGCTAGTCGTAAAAATCCCTTGTTTGAAGTCCTATTCATCCATCTCTAACTCACTTGCATATACTATTTTCCCCAGGCATATAGGTGGTCGCATGCTGTCAGAATTTGAGGTGAAATTAAATCAGTTTACATATGAAATACACATGGCAAAGAAACAGGACTTATTTATATAATTTTATATCACAACTTTCTCTACTGATATTAATACTGTCAGATATAGAAAGGCATTCTACAAATCTAGTACACAAAAACTTATTTGATATATCAGTCACATCCTATACAGCACATTTACTTTCCCTTTATTTCAGTATGATCAGGCCACTTTATGATGGTTATTTAAAAGTGCTATTTTTAGCAGTTTTTATTTTTCTAGATTACTCTGTTACACTGCAACTTTTAATACGCTATTGGTTTGCCTACAGAGAATAAGGCAGATTTGTGAAGGCAAATATGTCTCTGCTACAACACATCTTGAGGTAGACTGCAGCAAGCACTACCTCTCCTCTGAACCTTATGCAAACTCTTCAAGGAACTGATGCATTTTAAAAATGCAACCTATAAATCTTTTTGCAACATGTCAAAATGCTAAGGCTACCTAGCTACTTGATATATATATATATTTTTTATAGCTGATACTTCCCTTTTCTGGGAAGAAACTGGGCTGAAAGACTGCAGAAAGAAGCCAGGGAGCAATAGGACATTCTCACATGGTGGGCACCACAGTAGAGTGATTCAAACTGGGAAAGATAATAAAACAGTAAGACAAAAGAAGGAATGTACTTTTTAGGCATTTGAAATGAGCCATTTTTCAGGCAGAAGAGCAAATTTATGTGTTCTTTTCAGTAAGCGTGACAACAAATATTAAATCTTGTTAAAAAAATGTGCCAATGCTATTACATATTGGTATTGATGAAGAAGAACTTCAGTGGGTATGGATTGACAGGTCGACCCATACTAAATAAAGACAGGTTAAACTTGTTCACATAAAATACATTTTAAGACTTGCAAATGTAACAACAGCAGGTTTAAATAATCAGTGAATCAAGAGATGCAAAGCAGCATGTCCACATCCTACTCACACAAGATATGCAGAGCACATAATAGAGGGCACCTGCTTTGAAATTTAGACTTAGCCCTTATAAGAGTCATTATTTTGACAGCTTCCTCATCTGACAAATATTCTCTTGTATTTTTTCCCAGAAGGACTCCTTTGAACCAGTAGATTAACATGGCAACAATACAAAGCACTGGAGAAGTTTCAAGAGTTATACCAACGTGTGTAAGGATTATGCATTCTGTGCTCCATAACTTATGTCTATGTCTGTTTTTTGATCCATGCAATGAAGGAGTATGCGCCCAGGAGATATGTGCCAAATCAAACTAGTGTGTGCTGGATGACCAGAAGCCTTTCTTTGTATTAGTTTTCACAGGCACACATAACTTAACTGATTGTCATGGACAGCTTCCTTCATATTTCATTATCTCCTGCAATGTCCAAATCACTGAAAGCCACATTTCACTGACTACTCATTCTACTAATAGGTTGTCAAAATAAAGACAGTAACAAAAATAAAAGTCAGACTCAGCTCACTCCTCCACACCAGTGTTTACATTTCTTTTTAGAAAGACTCAAACACAAAAAACCCCAAACAAACAAACAAACAAAAACCCCTAAGTCTGTAAAGTCTTAAAAACAGACCTTCTTTTAAAAGTTACAGATGAAATGATTTTCATTCAATACACTTGAAACATACTTCAGTGCAATGCCTGCTTTTCTGCAGTGGACTGTCTATTTAATACTGTCACTTAAGTACAATGTCTCTTCAAACTTTCCTCCTTGAAACAGCCTGGTTTCTATGCCATGGCATCTTGTAAGCCTCCAGCAGACTGTCTCACCTGAAGTGCAGTCTTCTGCCAACTAAGAACACTCCTCCATCGTTGTTTTGTAGGCCTCAAACAAAACTTTGCTATGTGTCCACTTTAAAAAAATGAGTAGTTTAAAGAACAAAATTGAAACTCTTGAAATCTCAAGTGCTATACATGGTGCTAGCAAACTTTGAAAAAGTCTGTAGACAAGGAATTTTTATCTTCAAAGTTCATATACTATGGAAGACACACTGTTTCCAGAGAAGAATAAAAAATAGGGAGATAACCCCTGTACATACCGAGGTTCCAGACCAGTGCAGAAATTCTGAGAGACTGTATGTA